GACATAGAGAGAGACATAGAGAGAGAGAGCGAAAGAGCCAGAGAGAGCGAGCGAGAGCCAGAGAGAGCGAGACCATGCCTACATCACGATGGCACGAGCAACCAAAAGAGTCTTTCCGGTGCGTGCTACAACCGTGGTGCAAGATGGAAGAATCGGAGGCACGCAGAAACTCCTGCAAGAAAAGAATCCAGCTGGTCGTTCGGGGAATCCTGCTTGAAGCAGTGACTCACAAAGAAATGGTCTGCACCGGCCTGCATAGGCGCCCTTATGCGGAGGTGGCAGCTGCCTGAACATGCCCCGCCACACATGCCCCCAGTGGCCATCCGAAGAGGGATCACAAGCCGAACTAGACGTCCCAACATCGATAAGACAAGATAACCTCCTGGTGTCTGCCATCCCTTCGCCACCACTCGAAGCCAGAGCTTGGACATGCATTAATGGGGATTTCTTGAAGCTTCGACCAGATAAGGGTTTGGGGGTTAGCGGGTTGGCGTTTAGGGTCTAGGGCGTAGAACTTTCAAAGTAATATACTATAATGATCCAAGTAGGGACCCTCCAGATGCTGCCAAGCTCGCATAGAGCTGCAGCCTGCCGGTGGGACGGCGTCCAAGCCATCCTAATGATAATAACACGGCAAACTGAAGCCAAGGACGTACTGTGCACACTTCGAGTTCCAGAGTACCACTGTGGGCAAAATCTTTGTCGGGAATCTCCTTCGCGACTACTGCTGCTGCGCTGGCGCCTGCTGCTGCTGCTGCTGCTGCTGGCGATTTGAGGACGCATACGTCATACGTGTTAAATCATGCTGAGTACCACAGCTAGATACTCAAGATTTTCTGGGACTGCTACAGGCCCAAGCCGAATGTCCTAGAAGTTCGACTCATCTGCAGGCAGGTTGCAGTCATGCAAGCCCAGGCCACGCCCTCTTGATCACCTGAGCTCCCATGAACATCGGCATGACACAACCGTGGGGGTTGACAGGCTCCAAAGGATCGATGAAGAAAGGACCTAGGACTAGGACTTCAAGCTCACACCATGCTCTTTTTGACGAAGAGGCTGTAGCAAGCGCCTTTCATGATGTAGATTGGGCAGCGCCCCGGGTAACCGTCCAGATGCAGGCACTGCTGCTCGTTCTGTTCTTCCAAAGGCCCACCTGACGCTACGTAGCACGAACAGAAACTCAACTTTGACAGCACCTCGAAGTGCCACAAACAAGCACCCCAAACAGACCTGCAAAAACAACTCAACCCAAACATGCCCAATCCTCACCTTCAGAGCTGCAGTAGACGGCAAAGAGGGTGACAACCACGCGTCGCCACCGCGAGGACATGCACAGGTGCAAAATCCACAAGGGGGCCGATGAAGAGGCCAAGGCCAGCGGCAGAGACATCTCATGCTCGAAAAGTCGGGGTTGCGGTTGTCTCGTCTGCCGATGTGCTTGTGCAACACAAGCAGTCATTTGAAGTCTCGGTGGAAAATTTTAGGGATTTTGGGGGGTAGGAAGCCAGGTTTCTGGCTGCGCACCAACAGCAGGACTCTATCAGTGTCTATTGCCATCACTGCATCATGTCTGGTTGAGCTCAAGCTCTTTGGCTTGGCGATGCCGGCATCGAAAGGGTTCAGCAAGTTTCACAACCGCTGCCATGTGACATGGTCTGAGGGTTCACAGACACGCAGGTACTGAGAGCCCATCGGTGTGCTTGCACAGGACCGCACCTCTATTTCCTCCACTTCCTCTTCGTCCCCGCTTTCCTGGAACACAAGGAAAACTTGAGCTGCTCTTTCCGCGCATCGTCGGGTTGGGAACTCTGGGGCTAGCACAGAAGCTTCGACCTGCTCCATACACAGCTGCGCACGGTCTGGTCCGAGGAAGAGGAGGATCTTGGCATCAGACAGCCGATGCTACGAGAAGAGCAAGCATCAAAAGTTCAACATCTGGCAGCCTGTTCCGTACCAGCTCTGGCTGTGATGTGGGATCGATCGACACTGGCCCAGGGCCCAGAAAAGTTTCACCCGGTAGGTTTCAAGTCCGAGCACAACTGCAAGCCAGCGTGCCTTCGGGCTATTGCACCGAAGTAGATGCAAGCAGGTGCCCCGGCCACTTCATTTCCAAAAGCTGAGGCCTTGGCAGTATATCTCCTCCGGGAAAAGATGCCCAGCCAGCGGCAGCACTCGGCCTGGCATGGAAGACCCTAGAGAGGCTTGCAGGAATGCATTTAAACCGACTGGCGAAGGCATCCATGGCCATCAATGCCCCAAACAGCGAGACCCTCGACTATCGACGTCACAACAACTCCCGAGAAAACAGTACAAACGAAAGATGTAACGGCATGTCGACCGCCTCTGAGAGCTCAGGCGCGGCAAGTGGCATAGGGGCCCCAGCCTTTCACAAGGCTTCATGGTGCAATTCTTCACGCACTGGGAATGCGTGGGAGTTTTAGGTCACGGTCAGCATCTTTGTCGGGTGCTGCTGTTGCTGGATTTACAGTGTCGGTTCTAACGTTCGCAGGTCACAAGGCGCAGCCTCGAACTCTTTTGAAAAGCCAACCTCGAGGATAATATGGTAGGCCCACACCGCGCTGCGCACTGGAATTGAAACCGAACCATGGAACTAGACTGAGGTCTGTTTTCTCTCGCCAACCTCGCCGTCCCTTTGCAGAGGCGGCTCAGAGCCACGGTCATCACGACGGCGGCAAGCAGGTCGCTCTTTCGCCTCCCTGAGCCACACATTCTGCAGCCAAGTGGGACAGTCATCTTAGTGTGTCAGCGGCTCAACTTCATTTGAGTTTCAGAGAGTGCAGAGGGCTTCAAGGAGCGGCCCGGGACATTATCGGTGAGACGTCCGAGTGACGGATACAAGCCTGCAGGCACTGGAGAGGCGGTGCATTGACATGCTGGTCAGTGCTTGTTGTGGTCGTTCATTGGCATTGCATGCTTGGCTATGCCATTTATTGGATGCTTCATACGTCTGTCACCACCTGAACCTAGTCAATATCCAAACGCACCGGCTCTCCGTGCGTCGCAGGGCAACTCTGCCACCTGCACGGTAGCGACACAAAACGGCCCGTTATGCAAACTTTGAACGGAAAGCGAAACAGACTTGTTCTTCGGTTCGACGTTTCAAGAATCCTGCACGGAGTGCCATGGTCGAAATCCATCAGATGATACGCGAGTGTACTAGACAATAGACTGCTTCACAATGGCCAGTCCACAGTCTGGATCGTGCATGAGGGTATCCAGTGCTTGCATGATACTTTGGCATCTCTCCTGAAGCCGCTCCTCTTCGCGCACTCGCTGCTCCAGGTTTGACAGAACAGAGGCACATTTCGCCTCCAACTCTGCTGCTTGTTGCATATCCAGAGCAGGCGATGAGCTACCCTCGGCTCTAGGTGCTCCATCCTCCCAGTCCATCCTGAACACAGGGCCGAGCCCCCGCTTGGTGATTACCCATCCCTAGCTCACTGGCTACGTGCACTCATGCGCAAGAGTCGACAAGAGGGCAAGGTCATGAGTTCGGGGGAAAGCTAGAGTAAGGTCTGCCTTGGTGATTAGCTTTTCGGCTCCCAATTAAGAAGCTGTCTTGAGCGAGCTTTGGCCCGCCTTTTGCGCTTGGCGAAAGGCTCCTGTGCACTGTCCAGGGCTGCAACAGTCAGCTGCTCCGCACGGGACATCATGGAGTCGAGCTGGACCTGCATGCACTGAAGCGTCCTGCAGGTGACCTTGGATTAAAACAGACACACACGAACGAATTCTGTCCATTTACATAAAAACGGTCCATTCCTCTCGTTCTTAATCCTAGGAAAAGCTTACAGTTTCAATGATTCCCCAGAACCCAACAAGCAAGCAGGGAGATGAGCCGGCACGAATCAGCTGGGCGGCATCAAGGCACTCAAGCATCTCGTGCGGGTCCTGAACTCGACTGGCAAGACACGAGCAGATACAAGTCAGGAGACTTTGAAGCAAACCATGATTCTGCCACCACAACCCTGCCGCAATCCAGATAACTCTGTTGATACAGGACTGTCTGCTTTGAGAGCTAAAGCCCTGTTGGACATCAACTGCCAGAATTCTCGTGATTCATTCTAGTGCAAACAGCTAAGACCTCATTTCTCGGAGCCACGTCGACCTTCAAGTGTTTCTTGACTGCCTCAGGCATCACCACTCTACAGCATGAAGCCAAACACTACAAAGCCCCTACAATGTTGTCACCGAACCCTGAAATCACGAGCCTGGAGTCTGTCCCTTTCGGAAAAAACATCATCAATACCTTTAATCTTGTGATCTTGTATCATTAGTCACTAATGACAGATCCCTGTGCCACAATCCGGTGATTCCTCCACCTCTTCCGGCAACTCTGGGCCGTACGCGGCTGCACTGCCACCACCGGATGGGTCAGAGCCGAAGAACTGAGGTTTGCCCTGAGACTTGCCTGGGCTCGGTGCTGGACAGAGCCGAAGATCAAGCGATTCAGAACCATCGGCTTCAGGGTCAACTGGATTTGGGATAGCAGGCTTCAAGGACTGTCCCGGGTTTCCGTGCCAGCTGTGTGGCTCTGATGCTTCACAGTTCCCAGGCTGGCTATGTCGATTGCAGGCGTTTCAGTCTTGGAGGGTCATGCGAACAATCACAATCAGTTCGTTTCTGCTAGCTGGATCGTCGTCTCAGGCACCCTGTCTTCGAAGCGAGGGCGCCGCACGACGCCGGATTCGCATCTCTTCGGCCTCTGGCAGCTCTTGCTTAAGAGGAGGAGCTAGGAGGAGGCTCAGTCAGACCCTCTCGACACCAACGAAGCCCTGTCGAGCGCATGAGGGGATCTGCGAGCCCTTTTCCAGTCACTGCCAACTTATCGGGAGCTCATCCCTCATCTCCACCAGCTTGAGATGACGGTGCAGGGATGTGAGGCAGGCGTGCTGTCAACTTGTCTGTCTGTTTGCCTAGTTGGTGCGTCCAGGTGCACAAAACTTGACGTAGAAACTGAGGATGCTTAAAGCCTGATCAAAATACTGTGCCGTGGCGTTGCTACTTTAGATTTGTAAGGATAATGGCAGTCCCATATCCACGTTGCCGCTTGTGCGACGGTCGATATATCATTCTTCTCATGTAATCTTCAAGGCTTCAAACTCCAAAGGCAAGCAAGCCTGGGATGTCACAACACCTACTGCACCTAGGGATCCCTGCAGGCGCAAGAAAATGACAATCGTCTGAGCCTTCTCACCACAGGCAGGCACGGAAGAAAGGACTTCCAGGTTGTCAAAAAGCATCTCGGTATGTTCTTCCAGAATCTGCACGATGTCGCGCTTGATCACCTGCCGTATTTCCATGATCGAGTACTTGATCAGAGAGGGCATCATGTGAAGGTCCCGCCTCACGGATGCCATCACAAGCCCAACGACCTATAGTTTTCCTAAAGTAAAACGCTTTTGCCAATAGGTTCAGACCAGGGAACTTGCGGAAGTTGCCCAAGTGCTGGCAGAACTCGACATAGTCCACTTCACCGGATCTGTTTGAGTCCAACACGTTGAAGATCGTCTCCTCGTCCGTTTTTATGGGCTTGATGGGACTCTTAGCATGCCAGGAATGCCAAAACCCCGGCACTGTAAACAAGTTGCGGTCTCCATGGTCAGGACTGGCCAGCACTGCGCAAGTGCTTCCCACATACGGCCGAGTTTATGACTTAGCGGGGCCTTTACATCGCAAGAGGAATCTGGATTTTAGGAGATGAAGCAGGGTCATTTGTAGGATGAGGCTGCCGGTTGTCTGCATCAGGTGAACACACTCTACTCTACTACATCAGCAGCGGCCAGCGGCCTCCGGAATGTTCGAAGTGAAGGAACACTTGCCGACGATAGTTGATCCAAGCAGGATGACTGCATCTACGGAACAAGCAGTTCCCACAAAGCTTAACTCATTGAACGCAAGCCACAACAGCAAAGCCGGATAAGCAGGACCCAATACAACCAAGGCAAGCTAGCAAGCTTCACCTGTCCGAGACAACCCCTAGCAGGCTGATAATTTTTCCGAGTCGCCATATCTTCCCGCATGATGTCCATTTGCTCCATGAGGCCCTTGAAATGCGCATTACTGTCGAAGCCACTCAACATCTCTTCCAGCGATAAGGTACCGCTTCCTGAGCTGAAATGCCAAGCCGGATAACCAAACAGCCAAAATCAGAGAAGCCGCCTTGGCTACCTTCGGCGGCCCTAGAAGTTTAGGAAAATGATTGGTGAAGGCAGGCATCCGTCATAGTCCATGCTGTCACAAAGGAGTGCCAGCTCAACCATGCTGCTTTCTCGTTCGGCATCCTTCGTCTGCGCCTTCCTGACCTAGACGCCAGAACGATACCAACGCACAACCAACCGCATGTATACATGTGTTTTACGCATGCATACATACAGGCAGACAGACAGACAGACAGACAGACATTAGACAGATAGACGGACAGACAGGCAGACAGACAAACAGGCACACGGACGGACAGACACACAGACATTTGTGTCTGTGTGCATGTATCTATTTACGTTGTTTGTGCACGTATTGTGCGTGGTTGCAGATACACATGTATAAATACAAATTGATGTGTAAACGCGGACATACCTGGCTGGAGAACATATCCACAATATTGCAAAGGGCACGAGAGGACCATAGAGTAGTTCCTTTCATAGAACCTCATAAGAACACAGCCATAAGCACACCATGGTACAAGCTCATGCAACACACAATACACCCCGAGCAGTGCATAATCTACTTTGCGTGCTTTGTTCTGTCCAATGTCAACACACTCCATCACAATGTAAAGCATTGCATCAGAGTTTGGGTACGGTGGAGATACAGCCGCGTGCCGTGACAAGTGACAAGCACCAAGTTCATTTTGACAATTATAAGAAGATTCGCAGCTACAAGTGTAAAGGAGCTACATGCCCTTCACAAGGGCAGCATAGAATCACCAGCTATCCATGCATGTAGTAGAAATGCACAACAGATAAACTGAATGTATTACGTTTAACTCTTCGAAGGGAGCTGAGATTGTCACACATGCATGTTCAAGCTTGCTCTGTGTCACTCGCCGATCTCTTAGTCATCCACCTGGTCGTTCTCACGTGCCTCTGTCGCACGCTCGACCTCAGGCTTCGGCTCGCCCCGACTTGGAGATTGACACCACTCTCACCCACTGAAGCTCAAGCTGTTCCCTGCCTCCGCATGGTCCTGACCCTGGCACCATCAAACAAACGAACAGCCGAAGATCAAAGCAAAAAAAGGCAGCTGAAGAGCACCTTCCAGAAACCGACTTATGAACAGTGTCCACGAACATAATCAATACCAAGAACATGCACGACAACTCCTAAACGAGATCGCGATCGCTGTGATTGTCAGCGCAAGTTGGCTGCTGCCCTGCTGGAGATCTTTCAAACTGCAAGAGACAGAAGCAAACCTTGATAAGCAGACAAGCGGCGATGACTGCAAGGATAAGATTCCTGAGCGGGCACCCGTGCCAGTCCCCTACAACCGAAAACGCGACAGGAAACGCGACAGGTCTAGGAAAACAGTTACCACCCAGGACTCAATTACCATCGGAGCCAAGATTCATGGCACCCAAGGAGATGGTCATCATGATGGGAAACAGGATGAGAATAGTCAAAGGTTCTGCTTCCACCAAGGGGAGAGAAGTCTCTCCCCAAGAATCTCCGGCCACTACTTGTTGGAAAATCGTGAGCATGGCTGACCAAACACTCTTGAATTTCGCATGGCAATTGTCACAGGATGCAGGATAATCGAGGCCAACATTCACAGGGTGTATAACCTCGACCACAATGATCGACCACACCACGATAATACACACCAGCATGACAGATCCGAACAAGATGGCCTTGAAGGATGAGGTGAAGCCCGAAACCAAGATGTAGAATTCTGGCACTGAGATCACGACACGGGCAGCTCTTACCAGGCGGATGAGTCTTAGGATCCGCAGGACATTGATCGGAAGAGTGGAAGCCAGGAGAGCCGAGCCCCATCCTGAAACAACTGTGACAATATCGATCTGATTCCACCTATTCCAGGGATAGGCTCCCCGTTCCACAAACGCACGCAGGGAACACTCGACTGTATAAATGGTCAGTAGCAGATAGTTCACGACGCTCAGCCACAATATCGAGGAGCTCTGGGATGTGCAGGTGGACATGTTGTAGCTCGGATCCGCACTGGGGGCCCGGTGACATGTAGCATCTGCGTCAGTCTCAAAAATCATGATCACGACATTGGCGGAGATGATCAAGCCCATGACGGTCTCAAAGCTTTGCGAGAGAACGACCTTGGCAACTCTGATCCGGGACTCTGGCCAGATCACCTGGCCATTCTCGTCTAGCCAGGGCTTCAAGAGGTTGCTCTTGTACCGAAGGGAATCCTTCTCGATGGTGGACAGAGCTCGCTTCAGGTGCTTCTTGTCTCCTGTCGTTCTACGCTTGGCCTCCGTGGCATTTAAGGTCAGCGATGAGCTTCCAGAGGCCTGGATCTGAGGGGAAACCGCCCCCGCCGACCGGGCGCTCAGCTCCGGCCCTGACATTGACATCCCGCCTCAGCCCAGGCCCCAACCACACCTAAAGGAAGTCTTGAGCACTGACAGATTCTCAGGTCTCCTGACCCACCTCCAAACATCATGAAACATATCACTAGCAACTACAACCACCTGTTTGAAGATACTGGCAATCACGACAAGCGGCAGCACCGTCATCACCAGCATCATCGATATAGTCATGTACTCAACCGCTCAATAGTTGGCAGTGTCGCCCGATTCACCATCATCGACATCATCAGCGTCATCAGCTTCACCACCACCACCACCACCACCAACATCACCATCATTATCATCACCATGAATTGCGTCAGCAGCAGCAGCAGCGGCCGCGGCGGCAGCAGCAGCAGCAGCAGCCGCGGCGGCAGCAGCAGCAGGAACGATTTCCTAATCGCCTTAAAGGTCCTTAGACAACCTTAGAAGCAGCAAAATGATGTTTGCCAGCATCCGGGCCATCCTCATTATCCCGGATGCAACGAATGTAGAGCCATCATCACTACATTCGCTATAATCAGTCATCATCATCATCATCATCATCATCATCATCACCGTCATCGTCGTCATCATCATCATCGTCATCGTCATCGTCTTCTGGTTCATCATCATATTCATCTTCATCTTCATCACCATCAACAACAACATCAACAGCATCAAAATGACTGTCACTCACATCATTGCCATCGCTCAACTCCTTTGACTTGTCGTAATCGGTGTCGTTCGTCGTGATGCTCATCATCCTCGTCGCCCCCATGCCAAGAGTCACAACCAACTATCCTGATCGTCCTCATCACTCTGATGCTGATCCTCGTCATCAGTCTCATGACTGCTATGTTCGGAAGCATAATCAGCATCACCATCATCATGATCATCACCACCAAATTCACCTACATACCGCGTGTTAAGTTCACATTATCGGTTCTGCACGGCTCTCCAATACCCACTTGACGGAGGAAGCTTCGCAGGATGCTAAGCCCAGCCGCCTAGCCAGCCCGGGAGCTAAATGAAATGAGCTGCGATGGTGCCTGCCCCAGGTATGCTACCGAAACTTCTAATCCTGGCTCCTGTCGCACCTGGTGAAGGACAGCGCGCGTTCGGCCCTGAAGGGATCCGACTCGAGGCACCTCGGACTGAAGAGCAAGGATCAGATCTCCTGGTGACTCCCTACACAACTGAACAACTGCACCCAACTTTTTGCATCCTCAACCACCCGCTATCCATGCCGGCTTTGACAAAATTCAATGGATCTAACCAGACATCACAACCAAGAGCCACGCACCAGGCGCAAGGCTCGACCAGCAGCCTGCGTCAGGAGACCATCCGCTTGATCGAAACCGGCTGGCTCCTGGATGGTGGCGCGTGGACACACTACAGGACAAAAGGTTCCATGGGACAGAACAGCATCTGGCTTTGTTTCCTCTGCTGCCTGGAACTCGGCAATCTGCGAAGACCTCGTCTGAAGAAAAAGATGATGGTGGCACATGTTGTCCAAAGAAATCTGGAAGCCTGCGAACTCAGTTGCGAACCCAACTGTTCCCAGAAGCCCATCCAGGACTTCAGCAGGTGGACATCGGAACCTGCAACTCAAAATGGACAGAAACAATATCAACACATAACGGCAACAACTCTCGATCGAGTGTATGTCTGAACGTTGTTAAACCCGCCTCCCCTGTGCTGCAAGACACTGTTGTACTGCTTCGTGTGCCTGCAATGCTCAGCACTGCAACATCTAACTTGCATTCGATGAAGGATTCGTTGCGGGCCTTGACGATCGCACTGGTTGGAACGAACTGCGAAGCAGAAGACCAGCCCTTGCGACAGCTTGCAGAGAGGATTCAAAATTGCAACGAATGCCGCCGGTGCAACCCTAACATCAACAGGTTCTTGGATTCATCCACAAGCACAATACCATGGCGAGCCTGTTCTGCAAGCTGTGGAAACGTCAACCGTTCCATGAAGCAGTATCATCGGAAGCTCACTCCGCACCAACGATAACAGGAGGCTATGTACTATTAACAATGTGCCATTTTGATGCTGTTGGTCACTGACTCATCTCGCAATCGAGCAAGCAAGAGCAGCAAGAGCAGACGAGCATCACTCGCAAGTTCATTCCATGCAATTTCCTTCGTATTTCTCATTGGCTACGGCAGCGCATGACATGTCTCTGAAGGAGCTACAAACATCTATATCGCAATGTAGGTTCTACAAAGAGAGCCTCTGTGATCACGATCTTGTGTAGCTGAGAAAGAGATGAACAACTTCGTGGTAACAGAAATGACCAGCTACAATGTTGCATCTCAGGATCTGTTGTCAAAGCCCAAAAGCTGCCCAGCATTTCATTGAGACGTCATGGTGGATTTGAGCAACTGCCAACACCACACCACATTCACTCTTGCAACATGCTTCGAACTGCCACAGCGGCCGAGTCGCGAAGAAGTCATGTTTCGTTCCAGTTCGTGCGACTTGCTTGGATTGAAACGAACCGAGCACTGTGGGAAGCTTCCTGTGTTGTTTGTGTTGCTGGATGCATTCCGAAGAATTGAAAACACGTGTAAGTTGTTTGTTTATTTTCAATCAGTGTACAAAACTGTTTTTACGAGTTCTCTAGGTCGCACTGCTCTA